ACTGTAAAAAATTAGTGGAATCCATGCCGAATCGTGTCCAAATGTTAATAAGGTGTCGTGGAGATCATATTATGTACTAAAAATTTTTGAGTTTGTATAAATTTAAATAAAATAGCATTTTCTCTTAGTTTTCTGAATTTATTGAGTTTGTTTCAATTAATTTGCACAAGGGTGTAGTTACGAAAATATTTTAAAATCATTTTTCAAATTGTCTATAACTAAAAGGACGTTTAATTTCGGTATTCAGTTTTTATGTTACATTTTGTGATTTAATCTGCGTTCTTCTTGAATTTTTATTTTATTTTGCATTTTTTTGCTTCATATTTTTTATTTTCTTTTTTTTCCCTCCTCCTTCTTTTATTTTATATAAATAATTTTTTTGGCCATATTAATACAATATTAGCAAGCAATCTTATTTGTGAATATAATTGTGTAAGTTGATAACAAGGTTATATATATTTTTAAATTAGTTTTGGCTTTTTAATTTCTTTTCTGTTATAATAAATTTTTCTTTGTATTCTTGTATCTTGTTAAAAAAATTAATGCAAATATTTAAGTACAATTACATAAATATTGAGTGTGTTTTAACAAAAACTTGCTACACTTTAAATAGAATTATGAACCTCACTTATACACAGTTCTTTAACAACAGTCGAGTATTATTTAATATATTGCATTGTAAGTTAAAAATATATTTATATTTTTTTCAAATGACTTTGTTTGGTATTGCTAATTAACTTTTGACATTCACTGCTTTTTCGGAAATGTTGCATCTAGCACTCCTACGCGAAAATTTGAATCTTATTCTGAAGGTAAATTTTTGAAGACATTATTGATATGTTTTTCGCTGTTTGAGGTTTATCGAAAAAAGCTTATGTACTTTTTTGTATATCTTTTAGGGAGCAATAAACGCTTTCACCTTTCGCCAAAGTCTTCTAAAATAGCTTCGCCTGGTGACACAAAAAATAAAGGCCTTGAGCAGCAAACTTTACTTCTGCCACAAAAGGTTGTCATCATTACAAATTGGGAGAAATAATATAAGTATGTTGAAGGAATTGAAGAACTTGGTGACACCTGTACTTTATAACTTCATTTCATCCCAAATAAAGTTTTCGAGTGCGTCTGCTCATGGCCGCCGGTACAACATACAAGATAAGAATCTGGCGTTGCAGTTGTACTTGGCGAGTCCGAAGGCGTATTCTGCATTAAGCCGACATTTTTATCTACCTTCGAAAAGAACTCTTAAAAATAATTTAAATGGAATAAGCCTACAACCTGGTTTCATTGAACCTGTTTTCAATGCCCTAAAATGCTGGTTGGACAAAAAATAAATAAACCCAATAGACTTTGCACTATTTCTTTGGATGAAAGGAAGATAGATTCTGCGTTATTTTATCATGAACAATCTGATACAATAATTGGCTGTGAGAATTATGGAGACATAAATTCTCAGAAAATAGCAACACACGCTCTCACTTTTATGGTGAGAGGGTTGAGGAAACAGGTTGTTGGAGTATTTTTCTCTGCCAACACAACACCTTCTGCAATTCTGAAAGAACTTTTGCATGTGGCAGTTGAAAAGTTATTTAACTGTGGTTTTTTGCCAGTAGCAACTGTGTGTGACCAAGGGTCAAATAACACCAATATTGCGATTGAACTACTTAAAGTCACTGAAAACAAACCTTTCTTTCTATTCAATGACAAGAAAATCTACGTCCTATTTTATCCTCCTCATTTTCATTTATTAAAATGTTTGAGGAATAATTTTTTTAAATTGATGCGAAATTTGATCAATTTAAAACAGCTTCGTGGTTGCACGTAGTTTCTTTGTGGAAATTTGATTCAGAGAGAATCCAGCGAGTTGTTAAGAAACTGACTAGACAGCATGTGTACCTCTCTGGTCTGAGCCGAATGAGATTGAAGCTTGCAGCGCATGCATTATCTAGGTCTGTAGCTGCAGGGTTGTGCTATCTTACAGCATTTGATTATCTACCTTCTTCTGCAAAACTTTACTGCAGATTTTTGCTCAAAGGTAGATAATATGTTTGATAGTATAAACTCCAAAGTGCTTAGGCACAAAACTAAACCTTTGCTTTCAGCAGCAAGGAAAGATTCTCCTCACCTTTAAGAATAGAAGGATTCTCCTCACCTTCAAGAATGGAGGGATTCTCCTCATCTTCAAGTATGGAAGGATTCTCCTCACCTTCAAGAATGGAGGGATTCTCCTCACCTTCAAGCATGGAAGGATACTCTCCAGTTTATCAAACCTATTTACTTTGAGACTAATGGCAAAGCCATTAAATTTCCTAGTCTTAATAGTTGGAAAATAACTTTGTCAGCATTCATTGACATAATTCTGGAGCTCTTAAAGGAAGTTGATTTTGTCCTAATGAATAGATTTAACCAAGATTGCCTTGAAAATTTCTTTTCTCAGGTAAGTTTACTAATCTTTTTTTTATAAATTATTAAATGTTTATAAATCTAGAAAAAAAGTTATGTAATTTTTTTTTTTGACTTTGCATTTGTATTGCATAAAAAGTTTGGATTGTAATAATTTTTATATGTTAATTTAGCATTTTTTAACCCTTTTATTTTTAAGAATAATATTTACAGAAAGGTTTCAACGTCGCCTTATAATTTTCTTCAAAACGAACGGAAGTTTTTCTAATATCTGTTATATTTACATTTATCATTTACTTGCCTAGAATTTTTTTTATTAAAAAAAAATCATTCGCTACTTTAAACTTATTTCTTTAAAAACGGGCTTTTTTAATGGATTGCAGTTTAAAAAAGAAAGATAACATTTTGTTTAATATAAATGTAAAAATTTATTATACTTTAGAAATAAAATACATTTATTGCTGTTTAAATATGTGCTTTTGAATATTTTTTATAGGTACGTCGAAAGAGAGGATCTAGTGACGACCCGAATCCGATGGATTTCCTGTGTCGAGTGCGCTTTCTGCTGGCAGAAGAAATTTTCAGTGTTTGCGACAAAGCGAATTGTGAGTCAGATGGCGATAAAAACCTTTTCCCGGTGCAAGTCTTACCAGATGAATTAAATGCAAGTTTAGTAATTGATGAAAGTTACGACAGAAGTTTTGCCCAAACCGAGGACAATGAGAATGAAATTTCCCCGTTTGACGCAAATAGTGCAGCATATGTTGCTGGCTATCTGGCTAAAAAAGCTTAGGAAAAATTTAATTATGCTGAATGCAAAAAAATGCTGGTGCAAGACTCAAAATCAGATGTGCATAATATTTTTATTACCTTCAAAGAATATCAAAATGTGAATGAAGGGTTAGTTTATCCCACCAAAAATTTAACAACAATAATATGCGATTTCGGAAATAAATTTTCCAAAATATTTAGTGAAACTACTCACGAAAAAGGCTTAAAAAGCAGAATTATTGCTCGATTGAGTTTAATTGATCCGAAAACTATTACTTGTGCTGCCCATGATGAAACGTTTAATTACATTGTAGGTTTATACACTAAATTAATGATCTATAACAAGGTTAAATTTTTGACTAAAGACATTAAAAATATTCAAAAGTTGAAAAAATTAGAGTAAAATTTTCTTATTTTCAATTCATTTTTTAAAGCATCGATTTTTATTTTATTTCATTTATTAGTAACTGAGAGAAATTTTTTTCAGTGAAATAAAGTAACTTTTTTTTTATTTATATAAGAAAATAAGTTTTTAATAGATTAAATTGATATACATAGTTAATTTGTTAAAAGAATATATTAATTTACGCATTTTAATTATCTACATATAGTTTTTTTTTAATTTTCGCTACTAGGTTTCGTTAATATATTTTGTATGATTTTGACTACAGTATTGTTTTGTGAAAAGAATTTTCACAGAAAAATATTCTTTGAAGCAAATTTTTTCATGCAATTTTTTTAGAACAAATTTAGTTGTATAAAAAAGGTAGGCTGCATATGAAGTAAACCATATGAAAAAAAAAATTTTTATGCTAATCTAAATTTTTGTTCCATTATTATTTGCATCACTTATGAAGTTGTATAGAATTTGTATGATCTAGAACATCGCCCCCCTCTTGGGATTGGTTGACACATATCACCCCTTTCTCTTTTTGCTCAAAAAACCAAACAGAACTAAATCCTGTCTCTACTAAATATGTTGACGGGAACGAGATAAAAAGCGGCTCAGTTTGTTTCCACAATTGTGGATAAGTGTCCATAAGCTTTACCCAATCTAACTTGTAACCGTATTTTTTAAAGACGACTTTAGCCTCACAGTCATACTTCAAGTCTTAAATATCAGTCTACAAAGAGGAAGTGAGCTTATCCACAACTTCAAAAGAGAAAGGATCGAAAATCCAATCCGGAATTTCTAATTTCATTAAATCTTTAAATCTTGATTCCATAACTGATCAAGGTGATCAGTAAAAATTAAGATTTTATTTTCGAGAATCTCGATATCTGCCATTGAACACTTTTTAAGAGTTGGAAATTGCATTAGCTCTTTGCGACCAATGTTTGACTTGTAGATATCAAACTTGGCGATGAATGAAGATATGATTCCCTTAGCCTTGATAATGTTCATTTTATTTCCTTGAAGTTTTACGTTGATTTCCTTCATTTTTTCAAGACTATGAGTGAGGTACGCAGTTTCCAACTAGCGTTGCTTCAAACTCTCACTTAAACCAGGATCAGTGGTGTCGAGAAACTCAGTAACCGAATCCAGCAATTCGAGGAAACGGCTCAGTTTCCTTTTGAAAGCCATCTCACAGCTGTATGTAGGAGTAGAAATTCGAAATCTTCATCATTTTCATGGCAAAGTTCTCGGAACAAATGGTTATTAGGAGAATTAGCCTTTATTTTATTGATGCCAGAAGTAACCAATTTTTCGCAGCCAAAAGTTGACGATGAATGACATAATGAATGGTGAGATAACTTCCGGTACTTTTTTTTAAAGTGACCCAGAAATCCAGTATGACAACCAGACGTGGTTGGAGCACCATCTGTTGCACAAGCACTTACATTTGTGAGGGGAATTTCTTTTACCTCAAAATAATCTTTGACCAATTTAAAAATCGACGATCCTTTTGTATCTGTGTTCAAAGTTCTTGTAAACAACATTTCCTCGTTAATCTCCTTACTCTCATTTATGAATCTCACGTAAGCTAAAACAGCTTTGTTATCTATCACAGTTGATTCATCAATCTGCAACGCAAATTTGCTTTCTTTCAGAAATTTGATGAGTTTTGATTCAACGTCGGCGGCCATCTCATCAATACGCCTGGAAACAGTATTATTGCTCAGAGGAACAGAGCGACTTATCAGACTTCCGCCTGCGATACCAAAAGATATGACGAAAACGATCCTGCACTTGAATTTTTTTTTTAATTTTTAACTATCATAATTCTTTGTCTACACCAGAACCATAGGTTTCATATATATTTTCAATTTCAATCTCAAATAGCTTTCATTATTAATATTATTAGCAATTTTTATCTTTTGAGTACTCGTCGCCCCCCTAAGGATTATCGCCCCCTTGAGAAGCTCTATCGCCCCCTGGTTGGGAACCACTGATCTAGAATATAGTGCAGTGCAAATTTTTAAAGAAAAAGAAACCTCAAGGAATACAATATTTAAAAAAAAAAACTTTTTAAGCCTATGCATCAACAAAAGCTAGTTGTACAAAAAAATTGTATGTAAAATAAATTATGACATTCTTTTTAATGATAAACTAAGGTTATTTTTTTCTCTTTAGTTTCCATAACTTTTTGTTAGCTTTTAATTTTTGCCGCTTTGAGGATTTAGTGTGTTTTAAATGTCTAGTAATGTTTTAGGAAGAATGAATTTTTGAAAAAAAAAATTCAAAAAATTAAACAGTTGATTTATAAGAAAATTTTTGTGAAAAAAATTATTGTACAATAAAATTATGCAGTATAAAAAGTAAATCAAGCGAAATGTCGAAATTTTTCTCGATAACACATTTTTTTTCAAATTTTTATTACTGTGTGATCAGGAATTTTGAAATACTAGATCATTATCCATGATATTAAAAATGAAATTGTAGTATTTATTTATTTTTTAAATTGCATTTGCTTATTACATCCGTAAATTTTAGTGTCATAAATTAGTTGTATAAAAAAGTTATTTAAAATAATGTGCTCTATTATTGGGTGGACATTCATCCCAAATTGTTTACTGTGTGATCAGGAATTTTGAAATACTAGATCATTATCTATGATATTGAAAATGAAATTGTAGTATTTATTTGTTTTTTAAATTGCATTTGCTTATTACAACCGTAAATTTTAGTGTCAGAAATTTGTTGTACAAAAGAGTTATTTAAAATAAGATGCTCTATTATTGGGTGGACATTCATCCCAAATTGTTCTATTACTGTGTGATCAGGAATTTTGAAATACTAGATCATTATCTATGATATTGAAAATGAAATTGCAGTATTTATTTTATTTATTGCTTTTGTATAAATTACATTTGCTTAAAAAAGTGAGAGATTTTTTTTTTTTTTTGAAAAATATAGTACATGGAAAATATATTGATTTTCGTTCCTTGAGTTTGAAATTCTTAAGTAAAATTAAGTTCTTTTTCTGTTTATTTATTATTAATTTCTAGTGAAAAAAGTTGAAGAATTAAACAGAAGATTTTTAAACAGATTTTAGTATCAAAAATTTTGTTGAACAGAAAAGTTATGCTTTTATAAAGTAAATCATGAAAAATGTAGAATTTTTTTCTCTTCAACACATTTTTCAAATGCTCAAGTTTTTTATTTAGAATAAGATGCTCTATTATCTGGCGGATTTTCATCGCAAATTGTTTTATTGCACTGTGATCAGGAATTTTGAAACATTAGACTACTATAATATTAAGAAAAATTGCAATCTTTAATTTTTTGCAAAAATAGTACGTGGAAATTAGATTGTTATTCATTCTTTGAGTTTACAATTCTTTAGTAAAATTTATTTATGGTATAAAATGTATGTAATTTTATTTGTGTGATTTCTATTTTATTGAAAAATATATTATTAAAATGTATAGCGAAAAAGAATTTTTTAAGATAAGAGTTTAATAAAGATAAAACAAATTCTGCAACAAGTGTCTTGTTTATTTTTTTAAAACTCTAAATATATATATAATTAAATATTTTTTTATATAAAGCGCAGTTTTTATTTATATACACACATAGAAAAAATAACAAATCGAAGAAGTTTTTTTATTCAAGAGGGAATGGATTTTATTCAATTTTTTAAAGTTTTAATGAATGTTTGTTTTTTTAATAAAAATTACTTTTTTAAATAAATATTTACTACTTTAAAATAAATTATAATCCTGCTAAATTCGTGAACTGAAGAAAATTAAAAAGCAAAATCGATTCCGATTATAATTAATGGAGAAAATATGAGTGGGTGAAAGTCAAATGATCTGCCCCCTTCTTCAATCGCTCTTGACGGTAGCTTTCCTGCATTACATATTCAGCGCCCAAGTTGAGGGGAAAGATCGTTACGATTCAGCACAGGGATGGCGCACCAATGGCACGCGTGCCATTTATGTCACCCGACACAATATTTCGGGCACGCCACCGATCACATTTGTTATTACACAAATGGTATTACACTATGAAGCATATGTAACAATTAAATTAAAATTCACAAAAAGCACNGAAAAATTTTTTTCAACGTAACGAGAAATAAAGTAACTTTTTTTTTCTATTTATATAAGAAAATAAGTTTCTAATAGATTAAATTGATATACATAGTTAATTTGTTAAAAGAATATATTAATTTACTCATTTTAATTATATACATATAGTTTTTTATAATTTTCGCTACGAGGTTTCGTTAATATATTTTGTATGATTTTGACTACGGTATTGTTTTGTGAAAAGAATTTTCACAGAAAAATATTCTTTGTAGGTAAATATCTATATTTTAAGCAAATTTTTTCATGCAATTTTTTTTAGAACAAATTTAGTTGTACAAAAAAGGTAGGCTGCATATAAAGTAAACCATATGAAAAAATAATTTTTATGCTAATCTAAATTTTTATTCCATTATTATTTGCATCACTTATGAAGTTGTATAGAATTTGTATGATCTAGAATATAGTACAGTGCAGCATTGTTTAACTGAGAGCAAATTTTTTAAGAAAAAAAAATCTCAAGGAATTATTTAAAATTTCTTCAAGAATTATTAAAATTTCCAGGAATTATTAAAAATCTCAATATTTAGAAAAAAATTTTTAAGCCTATGCATCAACCAAAGCTAGTTGTACAAAAAAATTGTATATAAAATAAATTATGACATTCTTTTTAATGATAAACTAAGGTTATTTTTTTCTCTTTAGTTTGCATAACTCTTTGTTAGCTTTTAATTTTTGTCGCTTTAAGGATTTAGTGTGTTTTAAATGTCTAGTAGTGTTTTAAGAAGAATGAATTTTTGAAAAAAAAATTCAAAAAATTAAACAGTTGATTTTCGAATACTGAAAAACCTATTTCTTTTATTTTAAGACCTTAAAATAAAATATAAAAAAATTAAAATGCATTTTTAAAAAAATTACAGGAATTTTTTCATTTCAAATAAGCAGTTAAAAGTTTTCTTTTATGTTGAAACTAAGCAATATCATTGTAGAACTATTTCAATAAATTAAAGCTCATATGTGCCAGAATATATATTTATTCCCATAATAATTGTGATCGAAACTGTATTCATATTAACGACTGAGGTGATAAATACAAAAATTTTTTTCAATTCAAAAATAGTTGCAAACGTTGTATTAAATTATTTAAAAAAAATACTGGCAAAAGATAAATGCATACGCTAGAGAAAATTTTTTGAACTTTTGAAATATTTTAAATAAAGCTCGTAAGCAGTTATCAGATGTCTTAATTCAAAAACAAACAAAAATCATGTTATATCTTGAATCTGCAACATAATGGGGCTGTTCAAATATTAGCATGTTTTGGCAGTTTTGAACTCCTCTCTCCTCTTTCAACAAAAAAAAAGCAAATCACAAACAAAAAAGTAGCTACAATGAACTAATTTAAGGATTAAATTTAAATGAAAGATATATTTTTACATATTAAAAATTTCACATTTCGATTCATTTTATAAAATTTTGACAAAAATATTTTTAGGAATCTTTTGTGTTTACCTGTGGTCACAAAACTCTTGATTTTAGAAACTGTCCAAAAACGTTTGTTTTTTTAATTTTTTCTTTCCTGGAATTGAACTAAAATTTCAAATTCGCTAACATACATTCAATTGTCCAAGTCAAATCTCTATCCTTGATCAGGAAACTTCTCACAAACTGCTGGCTGCCCATATTGGCAAGTGTTCCAGTTCTGGATATAGTGACATCTTGAAAAGGTTAGATCTTTTTAATATCTCACTTGACTGAAAATGGAAAATAAAAGAAATAGTTTTTCACTTCAACCATTTATAGATGTTGTAGTTGAATGATGAATAAAAAAAAAGTTTACTTTGTGTCATTAATGAGAATGTTTTCTTTTCTTTTAGGCAACTGGAAAATATCGTAAAATGAAAAGATTAATAAAATACGATAGATATATCTTAAATTGTACAATAATTACACCTATTAATAGAAAAAGCAGATAAATATTTTATAAGTGGAAAATCGCACTTTTAATTTCTATTTTTAAAAAAAATTCTGACAATCAAATATTAGATCGATGCAACAATGCAATATATTAATGATCATAAACGTTATAATTTTTTAATAACATTCTGAGTTCTATTATTTCTCTCTATATATGTTACCGACAAAATTTAGTTTGAAATCCGGCATTCTATAGAAGGCCTAGGCGTTGTATACAATTCCTAGGCATTTGTATGAATTTATTCGTATTTCACACATTACCTAGACATTCTATGGAATGCCAAATGAGAAAGGGGCTAAGTATGAAATACATCTCCGATTCATTTCGAATTCAATGGAATGTAATTCAAAATGTCATTCAAGCCTGTCATGTTGTAACAAGTAGGTTAATTTTAATTTCTCTTTTTTTTTAATATGTTAATTTTGTTTTTCTCAATAGAAAGGCATAAATTTTGTTTGGTGCAACTTTCGTTTTTCTTTTCGAAATTTAAATAGATTTTTTAATGGCACTCTCATTATTTTTTGCAAAATAACATTTAAATTTTTGAAAAATGCACATCATTTTTAAAAACCTTATCAGGACCTTTTTTTATACTTTGCCTAAATAGCATTTGTCATTCTATAGAATGGCTTACATGATTTACAATGGTTGGGGAAAATATGTAATAATTCTCACTTTGCCTAAAAGCGTCTAGCATTAAATACCAATGCCTTGGGATTCTATAGCATGCATATTCCATAGTTAGGTATTTCATACTTCGCTGGTAAAATTTACAATTTATGGATTGTTATCAGTAAAGTAAATTTTTAATTTTTACTTAGTTATGCAGCAGTTCTACTTGCTTCCTAAATTGTTCAGAATGTGTTTCCATTTAGAGATAAAGTGGGCTTTGGCGGAGTCTGGGCCAGACGCAAGCACCGTTTAATAAAAGACAATTTAATAAAACATGATTACTGGCACAAAATAAGCATACGTTAAAATTTGCTATTTCTTTTAACGTTTCGATCTCTTCTTTTAAAGCTCATATTTGATTGACCAATAAATCAGTGCTATTGTTAAAGTTGACTATGGCTAAGGTTTGTGATTGTAAATTTTGGATACTAGTTTGAGTATTTTGAACCAAACTTTTAAAATCTTGGACATTCGCCTCCATAAGTTTGGGTTTTATGGAAATGGGGAGAGAGAGTGGCCATTAAGTGTAGAAGCTTAATTAGTGATGTGATTTTTATAAGTATTACTTACAGCGACAGTTACTTTGAGAACTGCATTTTTTAGTCTCATCAGGTAACAGTAATGTGGGTTGCTATGCAACCAAATCATTAGAGAGGTATCCAACCTTAAAAAATCTACGCATCAACGCTGCTGCTTTATCAATAGTTTAAATAAATAGTCAGGTTTCAGGATTAGTAGCCATGTCAGAGCATTATTTGTTAATTCAAATTTTATAACTACCAAAGCAACCTCATCTGATAGCTTATTAATCATTTTATAAACATTTATCTGAGACAGAAACCTCTAGAGATTCTGAGGGTTGTCAATAAATGGAGTTACCGGTAAATTTACATAAAATGCCATTTTTGTTTTACTTCTACTGCAAGTTAAAATTCATAAATTCTGAAACACCCATTGTGAATGCCCCCGTGAGCCACCACAGCTCCACACAGTACAATTGATGATAAAAATTAGCTTAAAAATATGGAGATGAAAATAAAAGTTGAAACTTAAAATGCTGGTTCAAACAGTATAACTGATGATAAAAACTTCATTGGCTTTCGGCATATATAAGGCAATTTTCGGCAGAATAGTCTTCCAGAATACTAGAGTGAGGTTAAGAAGTTGGCAGAGTGCTGATGATCTTCGGGTCGACATGTTCGTGTGAGCAAGCGTTCTCTTGCATGAATATAAAAAGTAAAGTTAAAAGTCAACTAACAAATAAAAAATCTAGAGTCCTGCTTGAAATTTAAAAAAACAAGTTATTAGCCAGATTTAAACTTTCAAAAGGCATACAAAGCCAATACTTCCACTGATGTAACTATCTATATTTGTGTTTTTATATAAATAAATATTATTCCGTGTTTAAAGCTGTTTATTTTAAATCAAATATATATATAAAAGCGAATACTATAATATTAAATCAAAAAATTGTAGTGGCTCTTCAAAAACCGGAAAATTTTGTATATTGTAACTTTTGGCTCTTCCATATCAATAGGTTGCCGACCCCTGGTGTAGTCCATTACACCTGGTCAAGAAAAAAAAGGGGCGAATGGAGACCGTGCGGGGACTATCTTGGTTTAAATGCAGCCACATTACCGGATAGATATCCTATACCACACCTGTATGAATTTACGCACCAATTAGATGATCGTACGGTTTATTCCACATTAGATCTTCATCGAGCGTATCATCAAATTCCCATGGAACAAGCATATATAGAAAAAACAGCTATTAGTACGCCATTCGGACTGTTCGAATTTCCATTGATGACTTTTGGACTTCGTAACGCAGCGCAGACATTCTAGAGATTTATGCATGCTGCTCTACGTGGCCTAATTGCATCGCGCTCTAAATAAAGAGGAACATTTACAACATCTCAGAACAGTTTTTGAGAGATTGCAACAGTTTGGATTAACATTAAATCTCAGTAAATGCGTTTACAACGCTATCTAAAACTAAGTAAATAGCGCTTAGTTTTGCAAAATTTAGTCTTACAAGAAATAAAAGCAGCGCATTGCTAAGACAACTCAATAATGATTACAATCTTGACGTTCCATAGATTGTGATATAAAAGTATTAATGGATGTATATATTTTATATTAACTTGTGAACAACTGTGTATATTAAATGTTGTCGCGTCTCCAATTTACTTCGTTTTTATTTATCCGAAATCGCATTTGGTAGGAAGACAGAACACCTTCCCTTACAGAGTAACTAGTAGTAAAAACAAATGCAAAACATATTCTACAAAAAGTAAAACGCAAACTCAACTCTGCGAATGTTTACAAGTACTTTTTGTGTCATTAAATTTGAAAGAATTTGTATTTTGTTTGTCATTAAATCACTCCGCCAAACATTTATAAGTCTTTTATTTTCTTTCTTTTATTTTAAGAATGCCGGGGCTTTGCCAAAAAAAAAAAAACTCAATCATTTGGGCCTCTAGCCGATAAAAATCGGGAACCTCTGTACTAATAAATATAGATAAAATATCACTCAATTCATGCATTTTTCTTTTTTAAAGCTCAGTCTTCTTATATTTTGAGGATTAACATACAGGAATGGTCCAGCTAAAGTTAATAATATTATTACTATGATGAGAATTTTTGATTTATATATTAAAAAGAACTTTTCTCAAAACCTAATAATATAGGAATTTAAAAAAAAAAATGAAAATAGTACATATTTTTCGCTAATTTTATTATAATAAAATATAATATTTTAAATTTCAGAATTGTTTTGTTTACAAAGTTTTAACAATTTTCTGTATAACTTTATAAATGAGTAATGAGCAGCTCATAATAGTTTGAGGTCTAGACTAGAAAATCTCTTTCAAGTTTGGATGGGAAAAAAAATAGTAGTATACTTACTAAGTTTAATACTTAATGTTACTAGAAATGACGTCAGGTTACACGATTAAGTTTTACTCAACAAGCTACTTTACTCTGTTGCAAACTAAGAAAAAACCATTGTCCCAATGGAGAGAGCCTGTTTGCACCATAGAGCACTATCTCAACTCTATGGTTTATACTTAAGTGCACGCCAAATCGATGCCAAGCTCCCAGCTCGATCGTATATCAGTTTTTCAACTTATTGAACAACCTATTAACAAGTGATAAGAAATAATAAAAATATCTAAAAATCGTCATCTGTTCGTGTTTAAAGAAGATGATATACTGTTTCACGCAGACGTTTTTCTTCTACAACGAAACAAAAGTAAAAATTCTTTATCTCGAGGTGATTTTTCAAGGGCATGCCAGCATAAGATGCGCTGTGTTACAGGTCCCATCAAATCCTACTGTAACGTCATATCCTGGTTTCGTTTTCAACTACGTATGATCTCCTTATCTACCAAAATACGTCACCAAGTTATAAGATTACTGTAAAACTACAAAACTATAACTTTTTTTAAAATAATTCTATAATTTATATGGTAAAAGGTAGCACAAATTAAACTTTCGTCTGACGTGTTTAACTTTTAAAAGCATATTTGTGCTAATTGAAAACGAAATAAAACGTAATTATATGCAGACACTGATGATTACTTAAATCCTAAGCGGTGTATGGGAGAAGTTACTATTCACTTTTTTGAGCATTATATTTTTTTCTTCAAATTTTAATTTCATCGCTTTGAAAATTTCGTTAAGTCACGTAAGACTGAGTTTGGCGAGTTTATGGCGCCACGTGAATTTTGGTCACTTAAGTTATTTTCAATTAACTTTAGTATGAGCGCATGTATTGATCCAAATGCTTAAAGTTATAAAATATTTTTTTGACTTCAAAAGTTCTTGTTCAACAATCGGCATAAGTGCAAATTATATTAATGATTAACATCTACAGTTATTTATGATTGTAATTAAAAATAACTTCTAGCAATTAATTACTACACTTCAAGCAATTAATACATTTTTAGAACCCTTATCAGATGAAGGCAAGTGCTAAGTTTAAGGATCTCAAATTAATATTTAGGATTAGAAAAAAAATTACAACGATATCTTAATCATGCAAATCATTATAAAATAAGGTGGAACATAAAACCTGTTTGATTTCCTAGGAGTAGAATAGAAACACTTCGTCAATCAATAAAATTGGTTTTAGTGCTTTGCACAGATTGTATTTCCTTATCGGAGATTTGATTGCATTGTTTAATTACCGATTACTAGAAATATCTTCCAGTAACTACACTATTATCGAAACTATTGTACGCCATCTTCCTAATTGGTTTCGCAACATATTTAAATAAGGTTTTTTTTCCTCAGCTTAAATAATTGTTTTCGAAAACCAATTACATTTGCAAACAAAATCAGCTAATATTCAGTCAGAAGAAAATTTGTTTAGTAAAATTTAACATATACACTAAAATTTTTGGTATATATATAACTATATCCCAACCTTTTAACATATTAATATGCATATTCTTAATTTTTTTAAAAGTAGTGGTGGTCAAAAAGATTATAAATTAAGTTTATTAATGCAAGGAATATATAAAAAGCATACACATACCTGCCAACTTTTAATCCCTTCCATTATCATTTTTTCCAGTGGTATTAAAATGGAATTAAAACTTCAATTTTAAGCAAACAAATACGTTGTGTTTGAGAAAACTTAAGTTGACAACCGTGATAGAAACGCATATTAATATATGTGCTTAATTTTTGTAAGAATTGTGGCGATCAAAATCATTTAAAAATTAAGTTTATAAAAGAGAAAATAGTATATAATTACTACCTCTTTAAATATGAAAATAAAATCTTCCGGAAAATCCGGAAGAGTTGTCAGGTATGCATATACTTTACAACCACTTTAAATATAGAATTAAAATTTTACACCAAATGCGTAAAATTTAGCAGGTACGCATATATATATAGTATATATATATATATAAAATAATTAATCCATACACACGGTAACACAGACATTTTTTAAAAAAAGTCAGTGTAATTAGCTTCACAAAATATCAGACAAACTTAAAAAATTTAATAACATTAATTTAATTGTGTAAAGAGCGAAAATATTGTAGAAATTTATAGTAAACACGTGTAAAACATGGTAAAATATATAGTATTACAAGGAATTACCGTTATGTCTTTACTCGGTCAGGTCCAAATAATCTACTTGAATAAACAGTTTGTTGCTAACGTCACTTTGCTAACTGCATTGAAATGTGGCGTATTACGTTGTGATAACGACTGGTATTGTGGAAGTGAAGTTAAAATGAGACGGTTGTTGACATAGAAACGTCTGCAAATTCAGTCAAAAGATAAACAAGGAACTCAAAGTTTTTTTTTTATATAAGCATACAATTATATCGTTTCGAATCATCTTGATAAATTGGCGGCAAAAATTGCTTGACGATTCTTTACTTTTCTCTTTAATTTTGCTTTTTAGTACAACAATTAGGGGAGAGTCGGGTAGCCCCGCCCACCTAAGGAGTTTTGCTTATATTTCTGTATAATATTGAGTAATAATCAATATTTTTGTATGTTTCTATTGTTTTACCATCTAGTTAAATAATGCAAAAAGAATAAACCAAAAAAAGAATAGTTTAACTTAAAAAAATAGAAATTTAAAAAAACATGTTTTTTAGCTCCTTTCAAGATGGGTAGCCCCGCCCAGTTACAAAAATTGGGTTTTTTGGCTATTTTTTCAGGTGTAAATGAGAATGACCAATGTATCGACAATAGATAAACCTCATTTATCATTTTTATCACAAAATTATTTTATTTATTACATATTTATATACTTTTAGTGAATTCTATCATTTAATAACAACAAATGTCATACTTTTTATCATTATTAATGTATATTAATATATTATAATATTAATATATATTTAT